AGTACATCTAGAAGACTGTACTTTACATAGACGGAGGCATGCGTGCCTCACATGGCAATATTGCAATAGCATCACTGCTAGGGCATCGCCAAGGAAAGCATCACTTTAGGGGTCTGCAAATCCAAAACCTGATAGCATCTGCTTCTTCACACACGGAATCTTTTTTTTTTGATAAATTTACACACGGAATTTTATTTGGCGCTCACCACGCTTGATTTTTTGTTTTGAGAAATACCGCGCCTATTTGTCAACGTTCACCGCAGGGTGAGCATTCGACAAGCCGGCCCACCACCACTGGCAGCCTCGTTTTCTGGAAATCCATCCAAAACCTAATAGCATCTGTTTCTTCACAGTCCGGTTCAAGCACGTGTTTCTTTCTTTTTCTTCCTTTTTCCATAGTTCACTTCGGATTTTATTTTACATTTTCTCATTTCCTGCCATTTATTTTCCACTTTTACTCTTCGTTTCTACGTTTAATTTTCTTTATTTTCCTTTTCTCTTTTTACTTCATTTTGTAAATATAATACTTATGTATGCATGAATATTATTTAAATAGATGAATAATTTGTTTCTAATACACGACAACATTTCTAAATAAGTATTTTTCAATACACGATGCACGATGGCCAGTTTTTAAATACATGATGAAAACTTTTTTAATATGCGATGAACATTTCTCAAATACATCTAAAATTTATAATTTCTTGAAACAATATTTAGACTTATTTTGAAATTTTTGGGGTATATTTCCAAAATATATCTCAAAAATATTTTCCAAAAAATCTATTTATATGTATATGTGTGATTTTTATAATTTTAATGGTGTATTTTTTCAAAATATGAACTTATTATAATAATATGCATCAAAAAACGAAGTCCTCCTGCCGGCAAAAACCGAGATCCACCGTGCCTCCATGGCCCTAAGACCACAGGAGACGAGGCCCACAGTCTGTTAGATGGGAAACATTCAACCATCCTATATAGCAGATATGTGAATGATATTCAGTTTGCCAAACTCGCTCAGACACACGTACCTTAAAAAAGACAAAAGACAAAACAAAGGACACACAAAAATGGTGACAACCAACACAGAAAAAAACACACAACAGGTGCGTGAAATCGATCCCCACTTGTAGAACCTTGAATGCAGGCTATAACCACTCTTACACATATTATTGGGCTGGCCAACCGAAGCAAACTGTGTAGACGAGAGTTGCTACAATCTCGCAATAAGGTGACCTAGCATTTTTCGGAAACGTAAACATGTTTTAAACGCCCAATATTTTTTGAAACACATTTATGAAAAGGAGAATGTTTTTAGAAGGCAAAAAGTTTCAAAACCGTGAACATTATGAAAAAAAGAGTAATAACCGAAAATATGAAGAAAAAATGTGAAAAAAGTATACTTTTTTATACTCATGAACATTTTGTGAAACTTTGAATATTTTCTAAAAGACGTGAACATTTGTTTCGCGCAAATGTTTTCTAAAAAAATTCACGCATTTTTTATTTTTTTATCGAAAAGCTAAGGAAGACCGATGAAAACCAAAAAAAAAACATCTGAAAGGCCGAAAACACGTTCGGAAAAATAAAAATTATAAAAATTCGGAGGGAGCGCCCAGAACGCGAGACGTAGCGGCAGATGAGAGCGCGCCAAGTGATACACTCTTAGCCCACCCCAAGTGACCCTTGGGAAGGCTCCCAAACGATCGTTCTTCAATTAGTTGCTCTGCAACCGACGAGGTCTATCGTTGAAAATGCTCATCTGTACTAGGAGCAATTTGGGCCTATACCAGCCTGGTTGTCATGGTGGCTCTTCTTAGTGATCTAAACGCTCTTACATTAGTTTACAGAGGGAGTACCAGGCCCGGGTTAAGTCGGACGAATTGATGCGTGAAAAAGAAGACGGACACATCAAATTCTACGAACGCCGCGGCGATTCGAGACGAACAGAGGCGACAGACGTGGCATGCTTCCATAGCCGGAGGAAGCCACAGCCACTGAAGAGCGCCGCTGACGGTAGCGAGAAGGGTTCGGCGGCACCACCAGCAGCCGGTCTCGGCATGAGGTCTGCACGCTCACCCACCTTTTTCGTTAAGTGATGAAGTGGACTTGTAGCTGCTGATTTTCTTCACAAGTCTAAACCATCAAATCTCTGCATAAGAGTGGTTCCGAACCGAACCATCAAATCTCCGCATAAGACTGGTTACGAAAAATTCTCAAGCATTTGGATTGTTGTTATCTTATGTTAATGCCGTCGGCATACTGATGACAAAGCTTGAGGGACACATAAATGAGCCCGGTGAAGGTGATTGCTTCGGATAGCCTGTTTGTATCCATAGTTTTAAATAGCGCGCTAAGCATCTTAGCGGCGGACCTCTTCCAAATGCTATAGCGTGCTATAGCGAAGCTATAGCGCGCTATTTAAAATGTTTGTTCATTTGTTTGGATCAAAGTCTCTTAGCGCAAGACCTTTTATAAACGCTATAGCGTGCTATAGCGGAGCTATAGCGGGCTATTTAAAACAGTGTTTGTATCTCAGTCAGTCTGCTGACTGCTCAGTTCAGCATGCAGGCTCCCCGCCGTCTAAGAAACTGCCGACAGTGTGCAAACATGGTCACTAACTGTTGATCGAAAACACTACTCATTCGAAAATAAAACTAGACGCCGGATACCGTCGCCGCGTCGCCAGGCCTTTTTGCTGGCTAACTGTAATTTGCAAAGCAAAACTGATGAAAATCGCAGGGTTAATACCATATGTAGCAGGGCAACAGGCGTATTGTTTGTTCCAGTCAAATTTGGTGGAAAATGGATAACCAGAGATGAAATCATCACTCTTTGTTTACAAACAAGCACATACATTGTGGTAGCAACAAATGGAGAGTAATAATTCATCTCTAGAAAAACAGAGCACGCACTAAAAAGCAGAGCAAGTCTGTATTCAAAATTGCAGGTCTTCTCGTCAGATTGATCATCCAGACCATTCCACGGTGTTCTACAAGAACCGATTTTTCATCTGGGCAAACAAATGCAACTTGTAAACTCCTTCTGAGATCTGCAAATGGCTTTGCAGCTTGCTACTCGCCTCTGTTAGATCGAGGCCCCAAGAGCAATGCGTTCCTCTTCCATTCGCAGTGGAGAAATGGCAAGATCCCTCTCAGCTTCACCTTGCACCATATTAGAGGCCGCCAGCCAGCAGAGATGTTGGAGAACTGGAACGTGATGGCCAATTGCAAGTATATGACGAACATGCATTAGTCCCTTGCATTTTCGACATCTTCTCCCCAGCTGAAATGCATTTACAGAGCATGCATTAGTTATATTTCATCGGCAAATGTATAATGTATTCGCAAGTCGAAAACAACATGAAAAATTGCAAGTATATGACGAACACGTACCATGATAACTATGCATAAATAACTGACCAGTTATATGCAATATCACGTGATGGTTCATGTTTCAGAGGCACTTTGAGTGTCGAGGCACCGTGAACTAGCTCTCTCGCCTGGCTCGGAAATAGAATACCAGGCTTAAGATTCACCCGAGATCTTTCCTTGCGGGCAGAAAAGATGCAAGGTATAAGTTAAATCAGAAGACCACGACAAATTGTACAGTATAAGATAGTCCTTACATGTCCAGCAGATAAGTGGAAATGGATGGCTGTATCGTCACCAGCAACTAGTGCAAACGAGCAACACCTCCTGTATAGAGAGACAAACATCGTCTGAAACCCAAACGGAAATAGCAATGGTTCAGAGCGAAGGAAATAAGCAGACGGAAATTCTACCTTCACCGCAGAGTGAAGGCATCGACCTGTGCGGACAATCAGCAAGAACGAAGGGTGCAGCATCGACCAATCATCAAGCGTCATCGTCGTCGGGACCAGAAATCATCTTCCACCAAAGCAGAGCCTTCGACGCAGAGCCTTATGTGAGGGTCTTGGCTGCTACACAACAACATCAAATTAAGGGACATCATCAGTTCAGAAGATGATATACTTATGTGCTATAGCTAGTGAACGAAAGAGAAAGTAGGTAGCTGACCAGCACCTGCGCTGCGACTGCTGTTGCATGGTGCATGCTCGGGACGGAGAGATGATGATTCCTCCCCCTCCGTTGCTTCATCCACTAAAATAGGGACAGTGTTCGCCCAACCGTTAATTCTGCCTGTAAGATTGAAGAGATGTCAGTATCATCATCCCTGACTCTTTAGAATGAAAGATGAAATACGCACCAGAATGTGCTGCACGTGGGTCATGTTACCCATCCTGAGTACTCCATTTGTATCTTCCTCTTTTCTTGCACGCCCAGCTGAACCTGAATGCATACACAGAGCACTAGTTCATTTCATCAATCCTGGTTGTCACCCCGTAGAGAACTAAGGAAGCCTTGATATAAACAGGGGTACGTGTAAGTATATGTGTTCACAAGCTTGAATACAATGACTGAATCTTTAGAATGAATTCAACTGATTAACCTGTCTAGCATCGAGGTTAAAAGGAAACACGTTCAAGAATGTTTTGCGCATAGTAGAGAAGCATACAGAAACAATCTGGCGTATCTTGCAGCTGTCAACCATCTTGACTACATTTGTATCTTCCTCTTTTCCTGCACGCCCAGCTGAACCTGAATGCATATACAGAGCACTGGTTCATTTCATCAATCTGAGATAACCAAGGAGGCCCTTGATGCCTAGGAGACTGTAAGTATATCGCCAGGAACTGTAAGTACAGAACATGTAACACGGTGGCTACATAAAACAGAAGGAGATGTGGCATGCTTAAAAATCCGAGCCCGTGCTATGCCTATATATAATCAGGTGCAGCTTAAATATATGTGGGCACATACTGAAAGGAACAAGATAGCTAGCTATCCGATCGACTAGATTTTGGAGAAACCTAATCTGGGCCAACACAAATAATTAGAAACAGAGCAAGATTTGAGCCGTACCTGCAGAGTGTTACTTGTGGTGGAACTGGCAGGAGACTTGCTCGGATTCAGTCAGCACGAATTGTAAGTGTAAAGCAGATCCTCTTGGCTGTTACACACACAAAGAAAAAGCAGAGTACAAATTAATTAGCATATCACACTCCATAGCTGCACTATATATGGACTAGTATGAATTGAACGAAAGAGAATCAATTAGCCGACCTGACGTTTGTGGTCACCACCGATTCTGAGCTCTCTCCCACTGCTGCAGGCTCGGGATGGAGAGATGATGATTCCTCCGTTGCTTCTTCTGCTTGGACGACGACGTCCCCCAGGTCGTGGTGGCTCCGTTCCTTGAACAGTCGCAGCACGGGACTGTTGGGGTGCGCGTCCACTTCACTTTGCAGCATAGCAAGCTTCGCCACTCGACCATGGTAACCAAGTGAGATCTCCTTGAGCTTTGGAAGCTGGTTGACTCCAATAATTCCTGATGCCAATTCGCACCAACTGATATCTACCATTGCCAGCTGGGGTGAGGTGCCATCCTCAAATTTCAACTCTCTCAGTCCCCACAGATTAAAAGTACCAAGCTTCTTGAGATTTGGGAATGCTCCCGTTTTGAACGCCAACTTCTCCCCAATATAAGAGCCATCTCCAAGATGAAGCTGCATGAGGTTGGGAAGTGGCCCTAGTATTTCCATGATTTTACCTTCTTCCTCTATTACACTTCCGTATAAGTAAAGCTTCACCAAATGCGTCAGATTGCCAACCCAGCCAGGAATCTCTCCAAGGCGTCCATCCAACTTCAGGCTCGTCAACAGGGGAGGAGGAGATGAAACAACATGCAGCCACTCGAGTGAACCACCCACTGAAAGGGAGCGGAGGCAAGTGAGCTTCTGAATGGCATCACGGAGTACCTTGCATTTTTGCTTGCTGGCCCCTTCTGTTACCACGCTCAGTTTTCTCAGCTGCACAAGCTCTCCTAGCTCTTTAATTGCTTTGCAACTAGTTCGGCTGATGTCCACAACCTCTAGTATTGGCAGCTCTTTCAGTTTGCCGATTCCTTTTGGCACCCTCACACCTTCTGACTCTGACCAACGGCTACACCATGCCATGTGTAGCTCAGCAACTACCTCAGCGCGCTCACTGGGATGAAACAAAGCTGTGAAGTGCATGGGGAAATAAGATATGGCCACCAAGCATCCCTTGGGGTTATCTAGCTTAAACCTTTCATAGGAAGTATTTCTGATACAACGGAGACTGTGCAGACTCTTGAGTTTACAAATCTCAATTGGCAATTCTGTTATATAACTGTCTCTAATGTTCAAAGTGCGCAAGCCTTGTAATCTCCCTATAGATCTAGGAAGTTTATAAATATGTGAATATGGGTAAGAAAAATTCAGATACTTCAGGTTGCGAAACAATCCTATGTTGCTGATATCCTTTTGTGTGACTTGAAACTGTGCATTCTCTAGATCCAAGGCCCGGAGCATTCGCATGTCAGGTGAACAAACTAATGGTGATGGCCCCAATGATCTCTCACCAAACGCAGTTAGTGACCGGACGTGGCTCCAATCCATGCCAATATTTTGGCACATGATACCATGGTATGCTACATGGCGGAAGGTCTTATTTACAACACTACTCAAATTATTCCCTGCCACGTACACAAAATTCTCATCCCTAGAAATTGCTATCATGACATCGCGAACGATATCATGGACTCGGCAGCTCTTTACAACCCCTTCTATGTTCGCTCTTGATGGCTGAATCATGCTTCGGTTGACTAGATCATCAAAGTAACTATTTCCAACCTCCTCAGCACTTAGCCCATCCCTGACGATAACAAACCCCTCGGCTATCCATCTTTCTACCACACGCCTCCTTTGGATTTCAAAATCCTCAGGAAATATGCTTAAATATAGAAAACATGACTTCAGGTGAGAAGGCAAGTGGTTGTAACTTAGGGTAACCATCCTCCTCATTGCTTCAAGACTTCGGTTGCTCTCTAGCTCTAAGGGGATTTGGTTGTAAATACTTTGCCATTCACTAACCTCTCTAGTGGCAAGCATGCCTCCTATTGTGAGAATAGCTAGTGGTAACCGTCCTGACTTTTTGACTATCTTGGTAACTATTTCCCTCATTTTCACATCATTTTACATGTCCTTCTCACTTCTCCTAGTCTTCCTTAATAGCAAATATATGGCGTCATTTGTTTCTAGGGGTTTATGGTGGTAGATAAGTGGTATGGAAGATTCCAATGAGCACTTCTTAGCTAAACCAACATCTCGTGTTGTTACCAATATTCGGCTACCTTTGTTGTTACTACTCGGAAAAGCAATATTTTTTATCCAGTTCCAATCATCGATGTTCCGCAAATCATCAAGTACAACAAAGTACCTCTTTTCAAGCAGCTCTTTCCTCAGATAGTTGGCGAGGTCCTCTTCTCGTACTACATTACCTTCAAGTTGCTTCTTCAATGCTTCCTTGCCAAAAAATTCTTTGATCATAACCTTGAGAAGCTCCATCCTGACAAATGATTGCGAGACAATGGTCCAAGCACAACAAGAAAAGTTCTCCATACTTTCATAAACCTTCCTTGTAAGAGTAGTCTTACCCAAACCGCCCATGCCGACGACGCATACTACCTGAGCAGGACCATTTTTGGCATGGACATCTATAAGATTTATCAACTCTTGTTTGGGCTTGGAAAACCCCACAAGTCCTGCTTCATCTATGTTGCTAGCTGAATGGTTGCGGATATCTTCCATGCAAGAATCCCTCTCATCAATGGTTCTGGTAATTTGGTTCTTCTCAATCAGATTGTAGCGTGTGTTCCTGTTGCTGACTTCTTCAACTCTTGATTTGAGATCGCGGATTTGCACTGCGATTCGATGTCGTTCTTTGAGCTTCATAAGCTTCCGTGACAAGCTTTGACTTGCCACATGCACCATGAATTCACCAAGGCAATCTTCAATATTGTATGACAGCTCCCTTACTTGCTCTGCCCACACCTTGAGTAGCATGTCTTTCTTCTCAATACCTTCGGCGGCCACCAGGAAAGCCTGCATCGTTGCTAGCTCGTCTTTGATGAACCTATCAACGATGGGAATGTAACTTCATTACAGCACGGTTGGTGTCATTCTTGCAGCCTGTGACATGCAACAAAGAAGAAGAAATATGCATCTCCACGAAGAGATTTCAAGCCTACCATGAATGCCTCGTGTCATTCTATATACAAGAGTTGAGTAAAACATTTTGGTTGTTTCAAGAATTTACATATCCAACTAATGTCCATCCAACAAGATGTTCTTAATAACAGAAAACAAAAAGGATGCAAGAGGCAGTGGGAAGTGCATGACAAAAACAAAAGAAGTGCATGTGCATATACCAAATATCCTTGCGCACACCCATGAGGAGGCTCATCTCGTTGGCGGCGGCAGAGGCGGCCTTGCTAATGGCTCCACCCAGCATGGACCTCGCCATGCTCAGCACCGTCTCCGCCATTATCTCCGGCCGGTTCGGATATTGTCCTCACACAACAATCGATCAATCTCACAGTAGCTACCTCTGTGTGTGTGTGTGTGTGTGTGTGTGTGTGTGCACCGAGAAAAAGCAAAGGTTGCTGTGCTCTTTGTCCTGCCACTAAGAGGGCAAGTTTGCAGGCTCTTATAGCGAAACCCCAGAGATTCTTCCTTTCTCTCGTCACGGTTATTCAAACAATAAAGGTAATTAATGTTGTTTATCATCCACCCGTGTTTGTCTTATCGTCCGGCCTGTTGTTGCAATACAGTCATCTTGCCAGCGACAAATTTGCCGGCCAAATTAGAAGATGCCAGAGCACTGCCTCCCATGGCCTGAGTTCTTAAATCTTACCCCGCTTGATGATTAGCCTAGCTGTCCTCTTGTATTCGGGTTGTTGAAACGCAACTAACCAAATAATTAAGCACACATTAATTTCCTAGCCAGTACGTACTCCTTCCTTCCGTCCTTTAAAGACTGTACTTTCAACTTTGTTGAAGGGTCAAACTATCTCAATGTTTGATCGAGTTTGTGCAAAAATATATCAATGTTTATGAAACCAAATAGATATATGATGAAAATATATTTTATCATGAATCTAATGCTACTAATTTGATGGTATAAATGTTGATGCATTATTGTATAAATATGGTCAAACATAAAAAGGTTTGACTTTCCAACAAAGTTGGAAGTACACTTTTCAAAGGACGGAGGGAGTACGGAAGAAAGAAAAATTAAAAAAAGGCCGTAGGTAACATTGAAGGACGTGCGGTTTGTACAGAAGCGGAATTGGATCAATCTCGTCAATTTCACATAAGCATGTTAGGTGATTTGCAATGTTATACACTCAAATGGGACACACCACCAAGCAAGTCAAGTCTTTCTTCCACATTCTAGCTGTTCAAATGCAGCTCTCAGTAGTCAGTACCCAGGTAAATAATTGGCCGTAGGTCACTACCTACTACCTCCGTCCTGGTTTATTGTTCCCCTTCGTATTTTGTGCTAAATTTTGACCTTAGATTTAACTAAGAAAATGTTAATACATGTAATCAAAAATAATATCATTGAAAACTATGTTCAAATACGAATTCAACGATGTAATTTTTGTTAACATGCATTATTATTTTCGTAATTAAATCTGTGGTCAAAGTTTGGCATGAAATACTAAGGGGATCAATAAACCAGGACGGAGGTAGTATATCATAAGCAAGCAGCAGGTAGCAAACGCTTCCTGCGTAATTATATTGTACCGGTAGCTATAGAAACTAGGAATCTGACCATTTCACACTAGTTTAAAACTAACACAGGCTAGCTAGCTAAGGGCATTTCTTACTGGTCCCCTAAAAATAGTGGAGGATCCGGCGTAGTAAATTTTACGGAACCTAACCATTCCCCTATATATAACGGAAAATAAATTTGCATAAATTCAACCTAGTTTCAACATAGCCTCAAACGAAATTTTCATAAACTTAAACACAAGTTCAACCAAGTTTCAACATAGCTTCAACCGTGTCTTGAGAACACATAAATTTAAACCTACACTAACTTAAATCCAGCCATGATAGAGGTCGAGCCAATCTTGCCTCAACGTCCCATTGCCTATTGGGTCCGGGCCGGTGCTTTCGTCGTCGTTGTCAGGGAAGATACGCCGCCTATCCTCGGCGTCAAACTCCTCATCGTGGCCCTCGTCGTCGCCACCTTGCATCTCATCGTCGGAGATGACGATGGCCTCCCCGCCATTGTCCGCGGATATCACCTGCTCCGCCTCCACGAGCTCAGGGTGCCGGCGGCTGTGGTCCGCCATGTACGCCTCGTCGGTGGCCTCCGCCGCGAGGCGCTCCCTCGCCTCCCGGTCCTCCTGAGCCATCTTCGCCATGGAAGTTGATCCTCGCGGCGGAGCCATGGAACTGTACTTGCCACCGGTCGTATTCGAGCACTGCGAGGTCCACCGTGTGGAACGACCTGATCCTCTTCTTCATGTGGGTCTCCCAGTCGGTGATATCCGCCACATAAGTCCCCCATGCGCACTGCCAGACGCCGAAGTATTTCCTCTGCGGTTCCCGCGATGGTGAGAGGTACGGGAAGTCAGCGAACCTAGCGGGGGGCAGCACATCGGCTGTGAGCCGGCGCCTCGAGGATGCACCGCTTGATGCCGAATCGCGGGTGCGGCAGTGCGGATCCGTGCTGTGGATCGGCAGCGGCAACCTCCGTCCACCACGTCTGGCCATTGGTAGGAGAGGGGTGGCGGGGAATGGCGCCAGGAGTCGCCGGCAGCTTGGCAGGGGAAGGTACAGGGGAAGAGGAGGCGAAGTGAAGAGTTTTTACTTGGCCGTTGTGCTGAGCAGTGGAGTAAATATAGAGAGATGAGCGGCGGCTGAGTATTTTACTCCACTAATGCTGATTTGGAATCGGCTAGGTCCCGTCTTGAGGAGTAAAACTGGAATGTTACTCCTCTAGCCGATTATTGGGGATCGGTTAGAAATGCCCTAATGATCGTATTCAATCATATACATGTGAAGCTAGGTCTTAAAGGGTTAATTATCCTTTTGCTCTCAATGGTGTCCATGTGCTCAGTTTTACCCTCAGATACGAATTGTCCTCAGTTTTGCCCCTAGTCCGTGCGCACCGACTCGTTCCGTGAACTCTGCCGTCTCCGTCAGGTCAACCTTTTGACTCGGCCCTTACAGGTGGGACCAGGCGGCAGAAAGGGCCAATTTTATTCAGACCGTTGCACGCGTGGCTTGTGGGACCCAGCAAAGAGCCGTTGAGCAGAGAGCCGTTGGCGGGTGTGCTATATAAGCGGGCGACAGCGACGGTGACCACCGCGACAGAGAGCACGGCGGTGACCATGGCGAGAGAGAGAGCACGGCGGCGGGAAGCTAGTTGTGGAGGGCGCGGCGGTGGGAAGCTAGCAGTGGAGGGCGCGGCGGCGTTGAGATCCCCTTCGGCCCCGAGCTCCATGTCTTCCTCAAGCTCCCGCGCCACCTCGCGGATGCAGAGCCGGGCGCGTGTGGACATGCCTGTCTTCGTCTGTCCGCGGTGCCGGGCGGGCGTTGATCGAAGGGTTTCTCAGACAATTGAGAGCATGTACATAGTGGCAGTAAGAAATTGAGAGCAATTAATCATGTTCAAGAAACAGAGTGCTAAAAACAAAGGAAGTCTGTATTCTCATCATGTTGATTTTTTACTACAGGACGGCTCCGCTCCACACTGCCCGTTTCGCTGCATTTCCGGAGTGGAAAGAATTTGAACAGGTTCTCAAATTTGCGGAATGTGGATAACAACATATGCAATCCTAATTCATTGATTACAAACAAGCACAAACATAGTGGCAGCAACAAACAGAGAGGAACTGGACATCTCTGAAAAAACAGAGTACTAGTAGAAAACAAAGTAAGCCTGCATTCCAAATGGCAGGTGTTCACATCAGATTGAGCAGCAATTCCGTTCCATGGTGTTCCTCAAGAAGCGTTTTCTCATCTAGGCCACCAGTTGCAACTTGTAAACTCCTTCTGAGTACCAGTGCAGCTTGCTACTCCCCTACATTACACCGAAGACCCAGGATCAATGCAATCCTCTTCCATTCGCAGCGGAGAAATGTCGAGATCCCTCTCAGCTTCAT